GCAGGATATAAGTTTAATAATTAATCATTATTATTAATTTAATAATTAAATACATACATACATATATACATTCTGTGCTAGTGTTTTGAAGGATGCATATTCCCAAATATAAATGTGGCTGGGACAAAAACTGAATACAATTTAATTCAATTCATGTGTAAATGTAATTGGAATTTTAATTAATGCAGTTAATATGATTGTTTGCCACATATTTACTCATTTTCCCCCTTTCCCACATCCGGAATTACAATTTGGTGATATGTTCTCGAAAGGCTTGATTGGCTTATTCAAGATTTTCAAAAATTATATATTTGCTTTCTTTGCCTAAAACTAGATTCCAGAATAATGGATGTTGACACATTCAGATGGAAGGTAGGCCAGATCAGACTTGCAACTCTGAAGGAGAAAAACGTCTGGGAAGGATGGGAAATCTTGTGAATGAAGTATTAAATTGCAAACAATTCCTTCTTGAAGAAAAAAATGGGAGACCTCTAAAGAGACTGGTGTGGATACACAGGCCTCTCTAAAATGCTGAAAAGAAAACATGCATAGAAAATGGAGGCAGGGAGGTATGAAACCAAAGAAGGATGCAAAGCAATAATCAGAAATGGGAGATATTTTCTCTTGTGAGACATCACTTCCTTTATATAAATTGGAATAATATTGATGGAATGCTTTTTGTATGGCTGCATTGTTCATTAATGCAGTACCTCCCTCTTGTAATTTCAATATCATTTTCATTTTCTTTTTGTATTTTATATGCTAGCCACTCCCCTGGTTTATCTGCAAACTCAATTTTATTTTTGCTTTACATAATTCATTTCCATTTCCATTTCTTCTACTGTTAACATAGATAATTGTCATGGTAATTTAGCTTAATTTATTGAGAAATACTTATCTTCTCTGGAAATTTCTTTAATTCTTCTTCTTTTCTCTTTATTTCACCCAAAATAGACCTTTCAGGTTAACATTTATTATAGGTAAGGTCCTCAAGCAGGTTATCAAACAGCTTTCTTCTGAATACTTGGAAGTCAAGCCAGACTAACCTTTTATGACAAAGTTACCAGCTTAAAAGATCTGGGGAATGCTATGGAGGTAGTATAGTTCGAACACAAAAAGCATTTGACCAAGTTTTTCATGATATCCTTTAGCTGGATTCATAATTGGCTAAATGAGCACACTCAGAGAGTACTTGTAATGTCTTCACATCGGACTGGAGAGTAATAGTGTGTGAAGTGCCACAGGGCCCTGTTGCAGTTCGATATTTTTATTAATGATCTGAATGAAATTATTAAGGAGATGATTATCAAATTTACAGATGGTACAAAACTAGGAATGTCTGGAGCTTTAGAAGAGAAAGAGAAGATTTAAAAAGATCTAGATAAGTTTGAATAGTGGGTCATAAGGGACAGAATGGAATTTAACAGGAAGAAATGTAAAGTCCTGCATCTGAGGAGAAGAAATGAAAGGCATGTCAAAGGAGGGTGGGGAGGGAAACCTGGCTTGGCAGTCATGCATATGAAAAAGATCTGGGTGTTCTAGTAGATTACAGATTGAACATGATCCAACAGTATGATGCAGCTGCTAAATGCTATTTGCAATGTTTTAACAGGAGCATAGAGTCCAGATCATTGGAAATAAATATCATACTGTACTCTCAGGCCCTATGTGGAATATTGTGTCTGGTTCACTGATATCTAAAAAGGATATAATGAACTGGAACGAGTTCAGAGGAGGGCTACCAAGATGGTGAGGGGTCTGGAAACCAAATCTTTTGAGAAACAGTTAAAACATTTGGATATTTTTAGCCTGCAAAAGAGAAGACTGTGGGAAGATGTGGTAGCAGTCTTCAGATATTTAAAGTGTTGTAACATAAAAGACAGATTTCTTCCCTGGAAGTCTTCAGACAGAAAACGGATAGCCATCTGTTCATTTAGCAGTTCCTGCATCAGGCAAGGAGTTGGACTAGATGCCTCTGAGATCCTTCCAACACTTTGATTTTATTTTTTGCTGTCCTTGAGTGTCACCCATTTTTTTGCGGTCTGGATCTGGCAGCCCCCTCCTTCGGGTTACAGTCAAACCATTTTGAGGTTTTCTACAACATACTAAAAATGCCATTAATACAATTAAGCATGTTGTGCTAAGAGGGCCATTGCGTACTCCATGGGTAGAGGATGTCAGTTTTTTTGAATCTAAAATTAGGCGTTGTGCATGCTTCCTTGTTGGATTATAGTCAAATAGTATGAGTGTTAAAAGGAGATGGTGCAGTAGTTGGTTGTATAAAAAGCTGCAAACCTGTAATGTCTTTTTCACCTCTTTCCCCAGCTAACGTTTTCTCAGGTTTTTGTTCTTCTGAGGCTTTATCATAAACTGAAATTGCCTAAAGAAATTATTATGGCAAAAAGCACAAGAGGGGCAACCTTAGAAGTGAATCTTTTCCCCTTCAGAGTGGAGATTGATATATGGGGAATATGTGGAAAAGTTACAGTGGCAGACCAAAAACACAGTTCAGTGACAGAGAGACTAGGAAACAGCTTTCAGGAAACGATGCAGCACAATAGCGTTCAGGCAGACCTGAAGGTCCACACAGGGTGGCTTCATGTTTAATCTTAAACCTGGATTAAGAAAATGTATTTTTGGTGTTGTCATATTATGCTCTGCCCAAACAAACTGTATTGTGGCTTAATGTTCACACAACATGCTAAAGCGATGGCTATATTCCCACTTCATGAAGAAACACCAACCACCTAACCCCATTTTAGCCTAGTCCAGCATGTTATATAAACCCAGCTGTGGAATAAGATGGTGGAAGCAATCTAGTTTAAATAATACACTGGTCTTTTATGGAACTCTTGCCCATTTTGCAAATGGGAGCAAACACTGCTTGAGATAGGGCGGAGAGTTGCTCCCATGACTTTAAATCGACTCATTTGATCCTACCGAGGAGGTTTTGAATTTGAAAGTCCAGACTTCCTTGGTTGACTTTCATCCTCTGATAGAACCCAGACCTGTTGGCTGCAGGCCCTTCAGCCTTAACCCTCTGAGACACCATTCCCTTCCCAAAGCAGTAATGATTGCGCAGAAGCTCTGAATTTGGGCCATTCATATTCATCAGTTAGATCTTTCATGTCTTTGAAAACTGAGTTGTTTTCCTCCTCAGCTAGACGAGAGTCTGTAAAACTGGCAGACGTCGCTTCCTGGGCATACATCGGCTGAGTTGTCTTCTTAAAAGTCATCTAGAGAAATTTGGCAGTTCTCTGCTTGTGGAAGATCTGGAGAAGAGAGGAGTGATTGAATCCTGGTCTCCATTTGCACTTAACCATAATACAGTTGTGCTCAGAAACAGTGTTTTCCTTCCTTGTCCCCATGATCTTGCCCTATCTCATGAGTGAGACTGCCTTCTTTCATCATTAGCTGTACTGGTCTAAAAGTAGCATTCACCGACAAGGAGAGTCTTAAGGTGTGTAAAATCTGTTATCCTTCGTAATCTATTATCTTGGAGGCGAACTCAAACAATCAATAGTGGATGTGAACAGAGGGGGGTTGGGAACTCAGCTTCCACCTCTGTCATTTTTTCCCAAGATTTTGCTCTCTCCATTAGTCCTGTTTTCCCAAGTTCTTTTTATATCCATCATTTCCCCAACCATGTTTCCGACGCCAACTTAGCTGCAGGCTTCCAGTATGGAAGATGAGGGCAAAGTAGATCTCCATTATATCATCTAAGGAAAAAAGAGGAGGCAGAGCTAAAATGTCAGGTGACTGTGTTTTCTCTCCCCCTGCCCCATTTTCATTTTTTCCCCCAGAATAGGACATAAGGTTACCCTATAAAGAAAAAATAGAAATAATGTCCTTTTCCTTTAAAGACCTCGATCAGAAATCAGCAATCTTTGGCTGATACATAACAATCTGACTCTAAGGTTATTGGACTGTCTTTCGAGAGATTTTCTGAAATACTGAAATTAACAAGAGATAGGAGGATATGGAATATTTGCAGGAATAACAGGATCATTTAAGCCTACATAGTTTCGAGCTCATAAGAAAATTAAATTATCAATAACACTGGAAGAGTTGATTTAATCTTCAAATTGTGGAGAAAAGTGGATCTTGATGTATAGGAGGGTTTCAAAAGAATTACATACGTGAGAGTAATGACAGACTTATTATGAGATAGATAGATAGATAGATAGATAGATAGATAGATAGATAGATAGACAGACAGACAGACAGACAGACAGACAGACAGACAGACAGACAGACAGACAGCAGACATCCTGTTTCTTGAGCAACTGAGAGCTGAGAATATAACTGAGAACATAAGAGGCAAATGCAAAGCCTAAAAAAGCATTTGACCAATCACTGGCCAACCTCCCTGATCAACTCCCATTAAGTCTCAGGATCCCTGGCCAGTAGCCATGCAGGCTGAGAGATTATGGGAGTTAGAGCCCTACGCTATCTGCAGAGTTTGTAAACTGTATGTGGTGGATATCTATAAATGGAAGCACTGTTCATTGAACCACTGTGGGAATCACTCACTTTAGACTCATGGCCACATCCTGTCACATTTTTTTTTCCCACTGCAGTCAACCAGTGGTGGACTAAGAGGCCTTGAGTGATCTAGATAAATTACCAATTAAAAGATACTGCCTGTTTCACTAGGATAAAAATGGAATTGGGTAGATTGTGGCTCAGTGTGTTGTGGGAACCCATCCATTTTCAGAGTCTGTTCTGGGAACTAGATCATCATATGGATATTGCATTCCATTTTTTCCCCCTTCAGTTAAGGAAGAATATTCTTTTTTTGTAGACGGAATGAACACAGACATAGTTATAAGAGAAACTGAGAAAACCCAAGCATATTAGAAATGGGAAATGACTTCTATCTGAACCACAAATTCCTCAAAACTCTGTGAATGAGGCAGGATGATTATATGTTAAAAGCTCATCTCTGGAATAACCACAATATTTATCTGTGTTGCCAAATCACCCCTATAGTGTGTGGGTGGCATTTATGGTATTCCAGGTGTGGAGCTAGCTTGGCGTAGTGGTTAAGGCACTAGGCTAGAAACCGGGAGTCAGTGAATTCTAGTCCTGCCTAGGCACAAAGCCAGCTGGATAACCTTGGGCCAGTCACTCTCTCTCAGCTCTAGGAAGCAGGCAGTGGCAAACCACTTCTGAAAATCTTGCCAAGAAAACTGCAGGGACTAAGGAAGGAAGGAAGGAAGGAAGGAAGGAAGGAAGGAAGGAAGGAAGGAAGGAAGGAAGGAAGGAAGGAAGAGAAAATATGTGGATAGATACCATTGTCGGCAGTTTTAAAGGGACCTTGAGGATCGTACAGTAATCGAATGGCACTGAACGAGCAGAGATTCTCCAACCTTCCTCTGCATTCAGCAGGAAGAGGGGCTGGGGGTAGAAACTGCAAAAAGAGAGAAGAAGAACTGCTGTGGCTGAACCCACATCTAACATGTAGAAATGAGTGTCACCTTCTCTGATTGTTTATCTGAAAATGAAATAACAACCTGTCTGTAAAACAAGCATGGAAATAGAGAGCAGTGCAATAAAATAAATGTAAAAGAGCATCAACAAACCGAAAATGATAAAATTTCAGTAAAAGCAGAAGAGGAACAGAGTTCTGATATGGGCTTCTGAGTTGAGCTCTAAACACAGATTAAATTCCGCTTGTTTTTCTTTGTGAAAACAAAAGCAGTCTAGAGGAATCTTTCACAAAATATCCACATACGTACTTACTGTATACATAATATTTATCTTAGAATCAACTCAAATAGCACAAATGACAGACTTTTGACTTCTCCAGAAACCTTTATTAGGCAAGTTAGCTTTTTAAAAAAGGGAGGGGGGAAGGGAGAAAAATCCCCAATTTAGGCAGCTATTTCAAGCGTCTGCAGTCTAAAATCAGTCTTAAGATGGAGACTGCGGGCTAAATGCATTGGTAGTGTTGTCTTAGTTAAGTTACATCTTAACTGTCAAGAACAAAGATTAATGGCTGCCTCTCTCCCATCTTTCATACTGAAAACACAAAGGTTATTCACCCCCAGTTGGTCATTCGTCAAGGGCAAAGTACCCAAAGTCTTGGTGTGGCAGATAGCACAAGTAAAGGAATATCCCAGTCTTTATCTCAGCAGAGCTAGAGATTGATTTTAACTGGTCCGTTACATTAAGATGATGATTCAGACAAATAGTATAACATTACTAGTTTGTTATTCAGCAGGTACGTGTTGATGTCATCCGATGCTAAGAAGAAGATTCTTCTTTCTCGTAGCCTGCAATAATGCTCCTTCTAACACTTCTAATGCTGGCTGGGGAATTCTGGGAGTTGAAGTCCACACATCTTCAAGCGGCCAAGGTTGAAAAACACTGTTCTAACATAACTGAGAGCCACCAGGAGGCAGCTGAGCATCCTAGAGAAGTAATGTTCAACAAGGCTGGGCTTGGCAGATTACAAGGGGAGTGACTGGCCAGAAAGAAAAAGAGACGCATTGTCTGTTGATAGCAATCTAGACTCTTCCTGTTCCTCAGTAGGGACTGTTTTGACCGCCTGCTTCTTTCTCTCTAGATTGGATAAGGAGGTGGTGTTATTAGAGCTGAAGGAAGACCAGCTCTTGGCAGAAGAAGTACAGCCAAACAGCCTGCCAAATTGAAGCCTCCTTACATTTTGCATGCAATGGGTGGTGATCCACAGGATTCCTGTTGTGCCTAGAGGAGGCTGATCACTTGCAACAGGTTAGTTAATGCCTTTTCTGAATACAGTCCTGGGTCTTTAATTTTGATTGGGATTAAGTTTACACCTAAGCTTCAAGCAGCCTTTTTGAACATTGTTGGGTGACAGTTCCCATCATGGGTGAATCATGTTATCCCATCGTCCATGCTGCCTTGGGATAATATAAGTTATAATCCAAAAACAGTGGGGTCCCAAGCTTAGGAAAACAATTCTAAAACAAAGTTCACTTTATGGCTTAACACAATGGAGTAGAGTTGAACTGGGGTTCTTCTAAGGGATAATAATTAATACTCTTAATGTGTTAACTACAGAAAAGAAGTATTTCAATCAGATAATTTTGGCTGCCTCAGTACTGGATTTTTCATACTTTTACATGCAATCCTAGGCATAATTGTTCAGAAGTAAGCCCTGCTGAGTACACTATGGTTTACTCCAAAATAAGCAAATACATAGTTGTACCCCTTTTATAGATATATAAATACAGAGTGCTTCCTTTTATCACAATGCATCCTAAGCTACAGTTATGTGAATATTGCAAATCCTACTGATAAAGATCAATAGGATTTACATCTGAAAATAGAGAAAATACAAGCGATGGGAACATCCATGTGCAATATTCCATTATTACTTTTAAACCTGTGAGACAATACCTCTGTCTAAGAAGTGCCTTTTGCCTTTTCTGCATCACCCTTCAGAGTTTGACTACCAGCGCCTATAAAACTAAGTATTTTGGGGGTGTAAATGTGAATTGGGCTCCCCATTTCTGATCAGAAAAAAAGTAATAAAACATCTCTCCTTAGAAATTTGGAAAGCAGTTGCAACAGTGCAGAAGATTTAACAAATCGTTTACCCAGCTTCTTGAAAAACAAGTGGGATTTTCCACTTTTCTCTCCTTCCCAATGTTCAGAGCATTTCCATCAAGGAGGTCCCAAGCTGTTTTCCACCTCTTGAGAAAGACTAGAGGGTGTCACATTGAGGATGGCTTCTGCCACCGGCAATTCTGTCCCTGTAATAGCTTAATTGACTCCTGTTATACCTAGCCAGATGGTAAGAGTCTCCTTCTAAGTGCCTGTTGCTGCTTCTTTATGAGCTTGTTAAAATAACATTCCTGCTCCTTTTCTGTGGCTCTTGCTTGTGGAGTGACTGCAACCCCAGGTGATGCCATGGAGCTCTCCACCCCCACCCCAACTTCCTGGCACCTTTCCTAGCAACTGGCCTGTTACTGCATTGCTAAGAAGAGGGAAAGGTTTTACCACCAAAGGTCGGAAGTGCACAGTCTCTGCCGCTGCCTTGCTCTCTCCTCAGTGGCTACACTCCAGAGCACTCTCTGATGAGATGGCTGTCAGGGAAGAATTCAAGCTATAGACAGAACAGCTGCCTCTAGAGATTTCCAAGTAAGTTAAAATTAAGCTTCCTGGTTTCAGAAGAAAGTGGGAAAGGATGAATTGGGGGAAAGGGCTATTTATGGAAAGAAGCACATGGGATGATTAAGAAAAATGTGTGCAAAGGAGATCTACACACTGCTGCTCACTAGTTTTTTGTTTGCATTGGCCGCACTTATTTTCCTTCGCCCATAGGCTACTGATGTCGCATTCCAAAAGACCACATGTAGCCTTTGGACCATAGCAAAGTGCATGTCCATGTCCTAATACAAAGAATAACAATTTAAACTCTAAGGGTTCAGCAATCTATCTGGATGTTCTCCACAACTTTCCCAAGTACCTGTGTGACTCAAAGGAAAGTATCACTTGGCCATAGTTGGGCATGTGAAAGGAGATTTAAGAAACCATGGAGTTCACAGAAAGAGCAATGGGAGATATTTTATCTTACTCATTTCCTTAACTGGAAAAGCCTCTTGGAGATAAAACTTGTTTTGATTTGTTTTATAGCGTGTTTGGATTTCAAGGCCATACAGAATCAAATTGGCAATTTGGGCAGCCTATATTTAACATCATGCTTTGCTTCAAAATTAAAAATAACGGTTCCTTCAACTGTGTAAAACCAGGGATTGGACAGTAGGCACCTTTGAAATTCCAAGAATGTCACAGTGGTTATCATGGAGGCAGGTCTTGTTCATTCACAAGAAAGTTGCCAAGGTGGCCTATCAGAAACCATCCATTTACCAAAAATGGATGAGGATATTGATCCTCCCATTTTTAATTTCTAAAAGAACCTGTGCAGTACTTGTGTGGTGCCCTAAAGCATTATTTAAAATAAAGTTGATAACTTGAGACTAAGTGCTTTGTTTTACAACATGTCACTGTCCAATTTATACTGAAAAGCATCTAGAAAAATAAAAACCAGACGGGAATCTGTCAGACGCAAGAGAGGTGTCCTTGGCACTAGATTGCTTACCGCTTACATAAAAGTATCTATTTTTAAATCACCATCCCCACATTTTGTTGTGCTTCTCTTAGTTGAGGAAGATATAGAACAGTTGAATGCTTCCAAACCCATCCTTTTAAAAACATCACATTTGGACCAGATCTGTTATGCAGTTCCTCTGGCAAGAATTATATATGTTTGGTTGACAATACATTAGTGGGATTATTTTTGAGCAGGTATACGAAGGACTGCATTGTAAGAGACTTGTAGGATTTTTGATACATATTGATTTCTGAAATGTGGAGTTGCAATTATTTACTTCTCTGTTGTGGTTAAAACGTACCCTTAACATTTATGCGGTACTCTTTGTAATATTTGTTTTACACAGTTTACCTAAAGTCATGGATGTTTTACACCAATTAGTAGATTATTAGGGTATTCACATTATTGAGAGCAGCTATTTTATTTTTATAGATTTTATATCGCTGTGTAATTTATCATAACGTGTATTACAATTAATAGCAAAGAAATACAACTAATAGCCGAGCAACTAATAGCTAAGAAATACAATTAATAGCTAAGAAAGACAAATGCTAATTTGACAGATTTCTCCTGGTTTTATTAAACAGTAATTCAGACTATTTTCTTATTTCCTGGAGGAAGTTATTTCAGAAGCCCAGAGGATGGAGAATTCTTCATCAGATGCACAAATGGACAACAAATTGAAGGAGTTTCCTATATCCTTATTCTCCCAGTCCCTATCAGCTTTCATCATTCTGGCCAATATTTTCATTATAATTGGGATCCTCTTCAACCACAAGCTCCATGGTACCATCAACTGGTTCTTCCTGAGCCTGCTCATTGCTGACCTCTTGGCTGGGGGAGCCCTTCCCTATGTTCCTGAGATGTCATTTGATAATGATCTGGGCTACTACCATTGCTTCTTCCGTTATGTGACGCCCAATTTCCTTTTCCTCTCTTTTTTAGCCAATCTGCTGGTGATGCACTATGCCAAATATACATGTGTCATCCAACCACTGCATTACCACCAGTCCTGGGTTCATCGCTGGTCTGGTCTTTACATATGCTTAGCATGGGTGGCTCCCTTGATTTTTGCCTCCATGCCATTGGCTTGGTATCAACGGGACTCCAATATGAACTGCTCTGCTAAACTTGTCTTCCCCTGGCCTTACCTCTGTGTAGAAACCTATGTGTTCATCATCCCAATCATCTTTGCAATAGCTGTAATGGGTATCCGAATGCTCTGCATCGCCCGAAAGCAGCTTAAAAACATTAAAAAGCTGATTAATTCAGTGAATCAAAGCCAGACCCCATCAGAATTGGAGCAACAACTGGAACTGAGGCATGCAAAGAGCATCGCCAGTGTATCTGCCATCTTCCTGGTCTGCTGGGTGCCATATATTGTTTGTTTGCATATGTCACTGTTTTTAGAAATAAAGGGTAGCATCACCCTTGCTATTGTCATCTGTATAGGCACTGCCAGTGCTGCTGCAGTACCCATCATCCTCAGTCTTGGCAACCATCAATATACCCAATTTTGGAGTGACATGACCATGAAAGCCTATCGGGCCTGCTGCCGAAGATAGGAGTGCAAAGCCAACCAGCTGTGTGGCAATCTTTGCAGCACAAAGGCACATACAAAATCCAAGGTGATACTTTCCAGTGGGGAGTCATCAAATCCCCTCCCGCCCATTCGGCAGCACAAATGTGTCAATCGTCTCCCTTCAGCTTGGAATGGAATTGGAATGTTTGCTTCCAGTCATGCCCCCCCACCCCCCATCCAGCTCAGAATTCTGCTGTTGGTTGGGGATCTAATATGCCATGCCATTCAAAAGTTCAGCTAAATCTAAACTGGGTGAAGAAAGAAAAAGGATGTTCCCCTTTCTCTTCTCTGGCAGTGCTGGAACTGAGAGCACAAAGGAGGTTGGGCTGCCTTGAAATCACACGTTTACTTTGATTTGCCAGCACTTCATGAGAAGTTGAAAAAGAACCAGCAGAGTTCTGAATAGATCCTCCCACACAGCTCTACTGCTGTTTCCCCCCACCCCATCCTTATTTCTTAATTCCTGCCTTCTAGGTCTGCTGCCTATACTGACTCCCCTTTTGCCATTCTCCCCATATGGAAGGAAGTTCCTGGTTCTCCATTGTAACAATCTCAGAACAGAAGACAGCAAATGAACTTCAGTAGCCTTAGCTACAGCTGTTCTACAATCCTTGCTCCTTAAATTCCTTGCATTGCATGTGAAGGATAGTGAGGTGACAAGCCATTGGGACATTTGAATATACAGTAGACTGGGTTCACAATGAACCATGGGTTCTTTAATATGGTTCACTGAATATGTCAAAACATATTCTGCTCAACTTGCATAAGCAGACTAAGCCAAAACCAAATATTGACTGTATTCTGAAATCAAATCTGTACAATGTAAGAACAATTATCTCTGTTGTAGAGATTTAGATTCATGCAGCATGAAGGCATGATAGATAGATAGATAGATAGATAGATAGATAGATAGATAGATAGATAGATAGATAGATAGATA